CCAGCTGCTAGAGACTGGCAGCCACGGGGGGTTGGCAGCTTGGGTTGGGGGTGTCACAGGGAGCTGAAGCGCTAAATTTGGAGGGCAGACCACCTGTAATCGGGACTGGGGCGCTCTGGCGCGGCACAGTGCGCGACTGTTTGGGTCCATGGTTGGAGCGGGCTTCCTTCCCCCCATCATCGGAGACATCAACCCGTTATCTCATGTCCACCAAGAGGGTCTATTGTGCCTGCTGGAAAACTTGATATGTCTGGCAGGTGCTTCTGATGGACATGCTGAGCAAGAAGGAGCATGGCGACTGTCTTTGGGTGGCTGGCAGTCAGGAGCTGTCCCGCTGGAGCGCCTCCCGATGTGGGCGGCAGCACACCACAAGATGGAAAGGTACATCGGAGTCGGACACATCCAGCTCCAGTCAGCCAGCTCCAGTCAAGGCAGTAGTGAGCGCCTTGCGCCTGCGCGCCCGCCAGATCCGGGCTCATGCCATCCGCCGGGCATGGGATGGCGCGAGCAACAAGAAGCGCTCCTGATATTTCATACTCACGCCGACTTGCGCAATAGAAGGCAGAGAAGCGGGCAGGCAGGCAGGGTACTTAGGGGAAGGCCCGCATGCTCTGTCATGCTCAGTCTGGTCAATGCCAACTTGAGATGCCTGAGCCTGTCCCCGTCCCCACCATCATCGATCTCGTCCTTCCAATGTCCCGCCTCTAGCAAAGTAGGCTCCAGGGTGCCACCCACAACTGGACCTCGGGGTCACTGCCGACTCGTTCGCCCGGGATTTGGGGGCGCTCTACTATCATCGACGACAACAACTCGAGCAATCCGTCTATGTACGCCTTCCTAGCTGCCGCACAGAAGACCCCGCGAGGAACTGGCTCTGCAGGCCGGACAACTGAAACGCAAGCGGGCTGCCATCGATCGCCTCCCGAGCTGCCTGGCCCTGTGCTTGCGCTTCCAGTGCCGCCAGCCAGGGCGATCCTGGCCCCGCCGATGGCCTCGCCCCCTGGCCTGGCTGGGCGGCCCTGCAGGGAGCCCGGTTTTTGCTGGCCAGCAGATGGAGCATGCGACTCAGGGTCGGTCGTGGACCACCACAGAACATCGGGCGGTGGGTGCGTGGCACTGCTCCCGATCAAACACTGGCACACCCACAGGGCGCCTGGTCCATGGCATGCTAATTGATATTGGCTTCGAGTCCGCCGGCAGTCTGCTACGATGGAACTTCGAGGCGCTGTGTTGTGCTTGGCTTGGCTTGGCCGCGCTGGGCTGACCTGGGCTGAGAGCTGCTGTGTGCCGACGACATAGGTCAGGTACAGTACGAGAGAGAGAGCTTGTCGCTTGTCGCAGCTGTGCTCAGTACCGCCATGTCTTGTCTCATCGGGGAAGCACGTCCGTTCCGCACCACACCCATCCATGCCGGTCACGAGATGACGGAACACCCGTCACTCGTCGTGCGACTAGCCCGCCCGCCCGCAGCCAGCAAGCCAGCAAGCCAGCAGCAGCCTGGCCCGGCCGCGTTGCTGGCGCCTCTTTTGGCCATCGATATACCTGTCAAGTGGCCACCAAGGCCTTGAGCGCGCCGACCCAAGAGACATTGTAATGAAAAGGGTGGCCGGCCTGGTTGGATATGAGTGCTGGAGTCGCAAGATACGGGCTGGCCTGGGCGGCCTGGGGGCCGGCTGTCCAATATCCAATGTCCACCCTCCAATCCCCGGGTCATTGTCGCCTGGCCCGTGGGGGGTGGAAGAGGAATGCCACCGGGCCAGCCAGGGGCCAAGGTGCGACCGAGTGAGCGCAGCACATGGCAGCTGGCTTCGAGACGCAGACGACTGCTGCTGCCGTTGTTGCTGCTGCCAAAGGGCTACGGCGGCAGCCTCTTGAGATGGCGGCGACCAATACAACGCATCGGGCAGCTTTGCTGCAAGGTCCTGCGTCCTGGTGCCACCGCCCAGGACGCGGGGCCGGCATTTCCAGCCCTCCATGAGTCCACGTCTTATGAGCTCGTCGCGGGAAGATACGAACGGGGCCTCCCTCTGATGAGACTGCGCGGACCTCGGACGGCATGGGTTTGACGCCCCGCTGATCGGTGCGACGGGTGCTACCCCAGGCACACACGCACGCACACACGCACGCACTTGGGCAGAGCAGTCGAGTGCTTGCTTCCATGGCGAGCAAAGGTCAGCCTGCTATCGCGATGGCTGAACCTCGAGAGGTGACCGGAAAGCAGCCGTGACGACCCGAGGCGCATCCCGCCCGAGTAGCGGTGTTCTTGTTTATGTCCATATTCGCCATCAGTCCGAGTCAATGGAGGCCCAAGGAGCTTAGGGTGCCGCCGTGGACATGGCCGAGCCAAGTTGGACCGGCCAATGGCGGCGGCGCATGGTGCATAGGAGGCGCGCGGAATCGGCTGCAGAGGGGCATCTGGGCTGGCAGCGGCAGGACGAGCGAGCGAGCGAGCGGACGGACGGGCGGGCGGGCGCCTTTCAATGGATGGATGGTGGTGTGGTGTGTTCCAATGTGTGGTGGTGGTGTGGACTGTGGAGACGGTGACGGGCTCGTCACTCGCGAGCGCTCCGGCCGCCGATGCACCTTTGCCCATTGGAGGGGGAGGTTGGCATGTTTTTGCTGCGTTGCGCACGGCTGGCGGTGTCGATGATGGCCCAGGCAGGCCAGACCGCATCTTGCCCGCGCAAGAAACAGCACAGGAAGCAGAGGCATGGATGACGGCAAGGGTCGCTCAACGGGGGTCGATCCCGATCCCTCCGCTTCTGAGACCACGAGGGCGAAAGAACAGAACATGACGAGTGCGTGCGTTCGGTTCGTCAGCATCACAAGCTGGGCCGGGGACCGCCTCCGGAGACAGACAAGCTTCAGGTCCGTTGCGACTTGGGAGGAAATGGCGGCAGCTGAGTGGCCGAGCACGGCTTTGTTGGGCTGTGGGCTGTTGAGTCGTGGTCATTGGTCTTCAGACCGCGAGCGCAGCGCACACCTTGATAATTAATATGCGAACCTGCCTGGTTCGGAAGTGCCGTGGCCTGCGCATGCTTCAGAACCAGGTGCTACGCTGCCAGCGGCTGTGCGAGGAATGGAATGCCCCCCGTCCAGGGTAGAGTGCTTCAGTCGGGGTCGGGTGCTAGTTGCGGCGCAAACTTCAGGTTGAACCGAAGGTTTGTTTACCTATCCACCTTGTCGAGGGGCCACATCCAATGGATGATTGGTAGATGGTAGGTTTCATCACTGCAGGATCAGCCAGGTCCGGCGTCCGGCGGAGGCCAATGTCAAACTGTAAGATGACAGTGGCCCGGCGCAGACGCAGACTGGACCTGGAGAATCGGGAGTGTCGGCGCATGAGACCAGCCGATGCGGAAACCCCGTGGACGCCGGCCGACACGACTATCGCCAGGGCGCACCGCCGATGCGATGGACCCTGATGGGAGGAGTGATTCTCGGGACAAGCAAAGCGCATGCGTGAGGCGCTCGAGCGGTATCAATGCCAAGCTCCTCTGCATCTTGTCTGCGTCCTCTGTGAGCTTCCAGCGGCGTCGAGGATCGGCGGTGAATCCCCGGATTCGCATCGCCCCCTCCCCGAATCCCTCCCCCCTTTGCCCTTTGCTTTGCACCTTTGCTGCAAACTCGCCCTAGTGTGCCGCCCCAGCTTCTTCGTCCCGATTGCGAGTCCAAGTCCTCGCTCGGCCAGCATCCATACTTCGACCGGGAAACATCTGTACATGCCCCCAATTCAAGACGCTGCGATGTGATGTCGCCAGGGGGAAGGAAACGTGTAGTCGGCCAGGCGCACAGTTGCGACCGGTCGCTCGCACGGAGTACGACGAGAAGTGCCGCGACCGAAGCTCAGACATCAAGGTCGTCGCCCCGGCGCGGAGTGGGCGAATATCCGGGACCTAGCCAGATAGACGGCCTTTGTGGCGATATGCGACAACATCCGGGTGCATCGCGAGGTGCATTCGTGCTGGCAGGGTGGTGCGCGAGATGGTCGGTCGGGGAGAATCGTGTTTTCTCTGGCTCGGCTCGTGAGGCGCCCTAGCGCAAGCTTCCATGTTCGTGTGGGTGGCACCAAAAGAGGGGATTTGCGAGCGGCTGTGTTTCGCACTCCGAGATTCAAGTCTTCCATCTCGGTCGTCAAATGCCTGGTTACCTTACTTGTCGATTGATCATGCATTGCCCCGGCGACGTGGGTGTGCGCGCTGCTTCGGCTTCAGGGCATGTCTGTCTCGAGCGCTTGACTGGTCAAAAGTTGACGACCGCCGGCCGCATCGGCTCGGCCTGTCGCCAGCACACACCGCAAAGCAGGCCGCGGCGCATGATGCGCCTGCCCCATCGTCGTCCTGCGCACCTCAATCCATGCAACGATACGGTGTTGGTGCACAGAGTCATGCTCATCATTTTTGCCAATTGCTTTTTCTCATGTCGCCTCGACAACCGGTGGCGATCGCGAGGGTCGAATGTGGTCAATGTCTGTGACGAAGCGGTGCGATCGCCTGTTGGGAGGGAAAATGAGTCACGTGGTTTCGTGGCCGTTACGCGATGGAGCCCCGGTCGACGAGACGCGCTGACGGTCGGCTGGACGGATGGGTGTTGAATGCGTCGGATAATGCTTTTTTAGTTATTTCTTGGATGTAAAAATTGGCGCATTAGTTTGAAGATTCTTGAGGCTTCTTCAAGACGGGTGAGCGAGTTGTTGCGAACCATGTGTCGCTGTTGCGCATCAATTTGTTGAATCCCGATGTTGTGAGGAAGACGCGATGCCAAAACTGACTTCCCTTTTTGGCATGGCTTGACCTCCGGCTCGGGATCTTGTGGATCTCGGGGGACTCGGGGTCTGCCCTCTCGGAGCTGGCACTGTGCTGCGTCACATCACGTGTCAGGAGTGGTCAGCACAGTCATCAAGACCCTCAGTGGCCTAGGATCGGACGGCATCTCACACTCTATCCATGCACATTTTTTGACTTCTCCACATCACCTGACCGATGGCTCAGTTGTCAGCGTCTCCGATCGTATAGTGGCTAGTATGCCAGCTTGTCATGGGATTCATCCCTCATTTCGCTGGAGACCGGGGTTCAATTCCCCGTCGGAGAGTTTCTTTTTGTCCTTTTCCATAAAACACCAGTTTCATCATTCAAGCTTTGCTTCATCCTCGCCATTTCTTTTGTTCCTGACTGTTGTGAACATGATCCCCTGAGTCTTCTGAAGTGACCCGAGGCTGCCTGGACAAAGACCTCCAGTTGTGGCTGCTTCATCCCGTCCGGGTGGCTTTTCTTCATGTCGGTGTTGTGCGTGGCTGCCCGCCCCCAGAGTGCCACAATTCGTGTTTCTCTGGTGCAAGCAAAGCAAGCAAGCTGGGGCCTCGTCACAAGGAAGTGCTTGCCGGGTAAATGAGAGCACGTCTCTCGCATCATCTTGGCAGCTTCATGCAGAACCGTGCTAGTCGACAGTTCCCCGGTCGACAGTAAACAATCCCATGATAGCGACCGTGAACCCGCCCCCCAGAGAAATGCCGGGAGATTCACGCTAGATGTCGCGTCACACGCTCTTGTCGTCGAACCTCATTCTTTGGCCATCGATGCACGGCAGGTGGTGCCCCTTCCCCCCTCAGTGTTCACTACAGGGCAGCCTGAGGCGATGAGGCGTTGGAATGGGCGTGCAGCCTTCACTGTTAGGCGGAGACCGCCATCAGGGTCCACCAACCCACTGGTGTCCCCCAGGCGACAAAGGCTCAAGAATGACTGACCAATCAGAGCGCGTTCTTTGGCCGTGCACCCGTGTCCCTGGGCGGGTTCCTGAGCTGTCGTTCCCCACTGACGGCGGACGGGTCATCCCTGCCGTCCCAGGAGCTCCCCCCTTCCTGCCTTGCCTTGCTAATAGCTTCCGTCCGTGTGCCAGTGGTAAACAAACAAAACCATCCCCGAACCTAAAAAAGGAGGAGGACCGGTACCAGCCAACACATTCCTAGGGGAGGCAGCAAGGCTCCGGAGCATCTACAATTATCTTCTCTCCGAACTTCTTTCCCGCCTCATCCTTCCCCGCCCCTTTGCGACCTCTGGTTGTTTACTGCCCCGTCGCCAAACCAGGAATCGTGCCCTCCCGTCCTCCCCCGAGTCTGCGCCGCGACGACCGACAACTGGATTGTTTCTCCCTCGACTCGACCTTCGACCACAGAATCATCACCACCAAACCTCGGCCTGGCGTGCATTTCTTTGCGCCTGAGAATATTCTCGCCTGAGGATCAAGGACCAGCAGAAAAAATTGTCACATCGGCCACCGCAAACTCGGCCAAGTGTACTTGTACCTGTCCCGCCGCCCAACAAACCCCAGCAATCCCTGTTTCTTCTATGATATTGGACGCAATCATCCTCACCACTCATCACCACCCACCCTCCTCCGACTAGGCATACCCGACCGTCGCCTCTTCCACCGACCAAGAGTCGACATCTCTACAACCTCATCACAGTCATGGACGCCAAGGTAAGTCGATTGCACCGTGTTGTGACCCCATGCAACCCCATCTCGAGATTGCCAATCTCTCTTCGCCCGGACCACATGAGACCGGGGATGGACGGCCTTTCCACCCGATCAACAACACCACGACTTTGGGATTGTTATTCCAGAGCCTCAACGCGACACTGAATATCAGAATGGCCCGATCCTAACCTCCTCCCACTTGCCCACTACCTATCCATCACCCACTATCGCGCCACATCGCGTCCCGTCTCTCTTACACCCATCGCGCCCTTCCCGGCATCCACCCAGTCCCCCGACTCTCACATCAAACTATTCCAAGTACTCTTCCGCTGACCAGTCTGTCTCTATCGCGCAGCCCCAGAGAGCACGCGCCGCCATGGCCGCCGTCGGCAACGAGAACATGCCAGTCTCCAAGAACGAGGCCCTGCATCAACGCCACAAGTCCACCGGCAACCTCCAAATCGCCTCTCGCGTCGGAGGACTCCAGGCTGCCGCGAAGCGAACCGTCTTTGGCGACGTCAGCAATGTGGTCAAGAACCTGACCAACGGCGCCGGCGCCATCGCCACCACCAAGGGCAAGCCCGAAGCTGCCCCCAAGGCCGCCTCCTCATCTCAGCCAGCTCAGGGCTTCTCCAAGCCTGCCCAACGTTCCGTCGCTGCCTCAACTCGCGCCGAGCCCAAGGCCGTCGATCTCTCCGAGCCTGCCCTCTACAATACCACCAATAACAGCGGCAAGCTGAACGTTCTCAGCGACGCCCTTCCCGAGACCAGCCAGGAGCCGCAGGTCTACTCTACCGCCCCTGCCAGCTACCTCGACCTCCCTCCTCAGGAAGATCTTGCCGATATGCTCTACCCCATCTCCCAGTACGTCAGCAGGGACGCGCCTCCCGGCCTCAGCACTGGAGTTGTGGCCCCTTCGGACCTCATGATCAAGTCCATGGCCGATCCCCTCGCCTCCGTCTCGGCCCTCTCTCTCGGTCCCCGTCACCACAAGTCGCAGCCGGCCCTTAAGAAGTCTGCCGAGGCGCAGGCTCAGGCTCTCAGGCGCACCCAGAGCAAGCAGTTTGCCGGCCAGACCTTCGCCCCCATCAAAAGCGAACCCTGCACGTACCTCGACGACCTGACCGAGGCCTCGTACGAAGACGCCCTGGAGCAACTGCTGGATGACCAGCTCACCGGACCCGTGGATGTTCGCAACCTGGTCGGCCCCGTTGACCTTGTGGAGAAGGCCGAGTCCGTCGACTCGGACTCGGTCGAGCACGGCCAGGCTCTTGTCGCCGTCAAGAGCGAGGTCGTTGAATTCGACCAGCAGCAGGTCACCTTTGGCGAACAGCCGCGCAGCCCGGCCACTGTCCCTCTCGACGAGTACTGGGACGAACTCGAGGAGGAGTCGGCCTACGACGATGCGGGCTACACTACTGCTCACTCCTTCCGCTCGCGTTGCGACATGACCGGCACCGGCCCGACCGTCGTCATGGCTCCCCGCATCAGCGAGGCTGTCGAGCGAGAGCTCGAGGTCGCCAGGCTTTATGTCGAGGCCAACCGCACCCCCGAGGACATCGAGGACGACATTTGGGACGTCTGCATGGTGGCCGAGTATGGCGAGGAAATCTTCGAGTACATGCGTGAGCTTGAGGTGAGCCACATCTTTCCCCGTTTTTCTGCCAGTGACGAGAAACTAATCAAGGGTGGTGATTAGTCCAAGCTTACGCCCGACGCTTACTACATGGACCATCAGACGGAGGTCCAGTGGTCGATGCGTTCCGTCCTCATGGACTGGCTTGTCCAGGTCCACATGCGTTTCAACCTCCTCCCCGAGACGCTGTTCCTCACCATCAACTACATCGACCGCTTCCTCAGCCTCAAGGCCGTGTCGATTGGCAAGCTGCAGCTTGTGGGCGCGACTGCCCTCCTCATCGCGGCCAAGTACGAGGAGATCAACTGCCCGTCGCTGGAGGAGATTGTCTTCATGGTCGACGGCTCGTACTCTGTCGAGGAGATTCTCAAGGCGGAGAGGTTCATGCTTAGCATGCTGGGCTTCGAGCTGGGCTGGCCTGGTCCCATGAGCTTCCTGCGCCGGATCAGCAAGGCGGACGAGTACGACCTCGAGACGCGCACGCTGGCCAAGTACTTCCTCGAGGTGACCATCATGGATGAGCGCTTCGTGGCTTGCCCGCCCAGCTTCCTGGCGGCTGGCGCCCACTGCCTTGCCCGCCTGATGCTCAAGAAGGGCGACTGGGTGAGTTTTCTCTCTTTTCTCTTACCATCATTTGCAGTCTGCTAACAACTACCGACAGTCCCTGTCTCACATCCACTACTCGGGCTACACATGGGCCCAGGTGAGGCCGCTGGCCATGCTCCTTCTCGAGTGCTGCTTCAACGCGCAGAAGCACCACGCTGCCGTCTTTGAGAAGTACAGCGACAAGCGGTACAAGAAGGCGTCCAGCTACGTCCAGGGCGAGATTGAGAAGGGGTTCTTCATTGCCAGCCGCTCTCCTGCGACGAGCACACACCACACCCTCGACATGATCGACTTTGACAACAACACGGGCATGTCGTCGCAGGCCCAGCACCAGAACGCCATGGTGCCCGTGGAGCTGCGTGGCTGAGTCCAGTCCCCAAAGCGCCTCGACGACGACGACTTTTGCCTCTTGCATCTTCCCAGCGAACGACTGCTTGTCCCCGACAGGCCGGTCACCCCATGACGCATAATCACGAACGACTTGACGAGATCACGAATTTCTTTTATCCACCCTTCCGCCCTTCTTCTCGACACACCGTCGCGTGTTCGCTTGGCTCTCTGGCTTCAGAGGCCCCCTTTTTTTTTTCCTTTGGACTTTGGGCCAGCATGTTCCGGCGTTGGAGGCAATGGTCCTTTCTCATAGAGGATACAGGGATGACCGATGACCCGCGGAGCCGGGGTCGGTAGGCGAACGTAATGAGAGAGTTGCCATCCGGGGAGAAGGAAGCCAGGATGGGGCGGCAGACAGTGGTATGTGTATGGATGGGAGAGAGGAACGAGGACATCAGAGACGCGAGAGGCGGTCCAGCCAGCATTCGGCAACCCCGCGATAGGCCAGCCACCACTCTATCTCCAGGTTGACTGGAGGGTGAACGGCGAGATTGGGGTATGAAGGATGTCAGGACTGCCTGTGTACGAGTAATATAAACCGACCCGCGTCTATACAACTGTAGTCTACCATCACGAGCCGCGATCTATGTGCCTCTGTCTGTGTCTGTGCTCCAAAGTCGTGAAGCGGTCTAGCGCGCTTCCACGAGCTTCCCCCAGATCTGACGTGCGAGCTGAGCTCACGTGCTAGCAGGCCCCCGGTGTTAGTCACGCTTGTCCTCATCCCCGCAACACCCGCAGCAACAGACCAGGGGTCGAGGTACCAGATACTTGTCCGTGCATCAGAAAGGCCACATTGCTGACTTTGACTGTCGGTCCAATCACTTTGCCATTGGCCTTGGACAACGGGGGGAAGGAGCACAGCTCTCCACTCCCCCCTGCCCGCGCGCTCGCCACGCCACACACGACACAGCATCCATCTCCAAACCCTCCTCCTCCTCCTCCTTCCTTCGAGTTGACCTCATCCTCCTCCCTCTTGTCCCCCCCC